CCACCGGTGAGGAGATGTGCCTTTGCTGTGGCTGTTGTTGACCTCTCATTATAGGACGGGGTGTGGGATCGCCGGGAACGCCATCAATGGGTGGCACATAGATCTCGTAATCGGAATAATGATTGACGTTTTGCTGCTGTTGCTGGTGGTAGTGATGCATCTGTTGCTGTATTTCCTTATAATTCATATAATGGCTGTATTTGCTGTTGTGGTCAGCGATTCCAACGCGACTTCCAGGTCTGTGTAACAAATTATGTATAAAAATAATTATTTCAACAATTCTTTGGGAAAAATTCACGAGTCGTTTACCTCTCCATCGCTTGTCTATAAATATCGTATGAATTGCCTCTCGAGTGTTGAACATCAACGCCAGCCGTCTATTGATTTACATATAATTAGACACAAAAATCAATTAATGTTTGTAAATATAAAACAAATAATTCAATGCAAATGACATGCAGTCAGTGATTGATTGCGATTTGTGTGTTAAATAAAAAATGAATAAAAAATACAACTATAAAAATACATTCAATTTAATAGTAAACGTATGAGAATATAGTTTTTGTGCATTAAGAGGAAGAAAATCCGTAGAAATTAATTTTTTGCGCTACAATTATCCACAAAATACACAGTAATTATTATAATAAAAGCATACAATAAGTCAAAGCATAAGTGTGTGATGTTTTTCGGGTGAATGTAAAGTATTCATGCATTTCAGCCATCGATTGATTAATTCGTGAGATATTTTCAAAGACGACAAAAACACAAACACAACACAAAAATATATTGAATTTTGAAATCCAAATGAATAATACCTTTCGAGAAGTGTTGGCATTACATCTGAGACTGGCTGCCCGTCTTTCGAAGGCATTCGACTGGTATTTATGTATACATTATATTGAAATTCAATTATCATTTTATATTCAATTCTATGAATGTATTGTTATTGTCAACGGTATTGACGACAGAATAATTTGAGAGAAATTCCCACAAAAACATATCAAACAAGTAATTGATAGGAAATAAAG